TGCCCGGCCCGTTAAAGGCGCTGCTGCCCGGCCCGTTAAAGGCGTCGGTGCCCGGCCCGTTAAAGGCGTCGGTGCCCGGCCCGTTAAAGGCGCTGCTGCCCGGCCCGTTAAAGGCGTCAGTGCCCGGCCCGTTAAAGGCGCTGCTGCCCGGCCCGCGCAGGAGGCCCGAGAGAGGCGAAAAGGGAAGCGCGGCGCATCAGCCCCGCTCCCATTCCACAGAAAGGGGCAGCTGAAAGGGGGGCAATCCAGGCTTTCCCTCTCTGGAAAGGCTTTGGTCCCTCTGCAGTCGAAGGGTGTTTCTGGGGCAGGGCAGATGTTTTCTGTTTCTCTACGGGTATTTATTTACAGCTTCCTTATTGCTGTAGTTCTTGCGCTGGCTCTGGCTGCTCTGGATGTTAATGAAAGCACGGGGAGCCTTGGCTTCGGAGCCAGAGCAGGGGGTCCGCGTCGCTGCGGAGGACGTTTAATGGAAAGCAGGTTGTGGGRCTGCAGGAACTGTGCTCCTAGAACTAAACTCACATGCTCTGCCCTTGGTGTGTCCAGGTGCACACAGGGTGTTGCGCACCAGTGTCCTAGGAATGCACCTACCAGGCTTGCGGGAGGCTCCTGGTGATGGCTGTGGTTCTCTAGCTTATTCCCCTGGGACAGGTGGTGAATTACCAGCCTCGAGGTCTTATCAGGTGTTTAGAGAGTTGCTCATTTTCCTAGCGATGGCCACAAGCCTTTTGGACCCCTCTGGTACCTGCACTCATAGCCAGAAAGGGTGTCTTGTGCACTTCACCTCGCTTCAGCTTGCCAACTTTGTGTTCCTTGCTGATAGAGCAGCATGCAGAGAACAGCCAGGGAGACAGCATAAGTGCCCTGAGGAGGGAACGGCTTTGGAAGGKGAACTCCTCAGCGAGAGGTTCCTGCGCGAGGGCAGGGCAGGATCGGGGCGCGGGGCCGCGCGGCTCCCGGGCGGGCGGCGGGAGCGTTTCTGCCGTTGCCGCGGGGATGGCGCCCAGTTTGGGCAGGTGACGTTTCAAGCCGTCGGACGGGGGCTGAGCCCGGCCCGGGCCCCGGCCCCGCGGCGCGGCCATGGCGGCGGGGCCGGCCCTGCGCCGGGGCGGGACGGGACGGGATGGGACGGGACGGGGCCGCCCGCGCTGCCTCCCTCCCTGCCTCCATCCCGCCCGCCTCCCTCGCGCT